CCACAGCTGGTGGGGGCTGCCCTTTCCCAGGATCTGCAGCTTCCCTAGCCGCTGTGAGCATCTCGCTCCTCTCCAGGGCTACAAAAGCAACCATATCTACAGCTGCGTCCTGAGCTGTCGTAAATCATCTGGAGGCCAAAACACGGATTGCTCCCACACAATCTCATCTCTCACCTGCAGCCACACTGAGAGCTACCTCCTCGGAAGGCATGGAGAGCGGAGGAGATGGATGGGGAGAAGGGCTGGAGCGTAACACCGCCCCGGGAAGACATCACGTTAATGCGCGAGATGTGACAGGAGGACACCGAGAGGCAGAGAGCGCGCGGGAGCAGGAGGCTTGGGAACATTCTGCTGCAAGAACATCCTGACAGCTTCTGGAAATTAATGGAGGCAGAGGCGGGCACGAGGGGGGCTGGCGGTGCAGCAGCTCTGATGGGCACACTCACCACAACAGGGAGCAAGGGATCTGAAGCCCACCTTGCTCAGCCAAGCACCTTTCATTCCCCAGCCTCTGGTCGCTCTGCACAGGGAAAAGAGGACATTTTCCAGCCTTCCCCTTTTTTTCTCTGACAGCTTCCTCATGGCCGAGACATACCTCAGACAGGTCAAAAGCGGAGAACAACAGAGGCCATCCAAAAGCCTCTCCTGGCAATCAACTGCCTTTGTTAAATGCCACTGGGAGCTGGCAGCGAGGAGCCACTCTGCAAACCCCAAAGCCCCACCGCCAGCACCAAGCCACGGCATAGTCCCATCTCAACCCCCATGAGGACATTGGTGGGAAGAGCTCTTTAATTCAAGCCTTGGTGGTGTTTTCAGCAGACTGAGCAATGCTTTCAGTTTGGGCTGTGACACAGCAGGGCAAGCCGAGAGCCGGTGTTCCTGGGGATCACCTGGCTGTAGGGAAGTCAGGATAGCTGCTTGCTGTCTCCTTTTTCTCTGGGGTCATTGCAAGCTGCCACCAACAGCCCTCAGATGATGGCGGTCTGGGCTCTCCTTTCAACATGCACTTAGAAACAATCACTGGTTTTAAAAGTTAGGGATGGGAAAGTTCTTCTGGGGAGCACCATTAGGTTCGAGATTTCCCTGAGTAAGCAACACAAGATGAAATGAATAGACATCGATTTTCTCCTAAAGGACTTTGTGCACATGATGTTGCTAAATTCCCCATCTGGGAAGTGCAGAGGATAATCTATAAAATCATTTTATTTGACAACACGTCCGCTTCTAACGCATAAGGCAACAACTGGATGGTTATTTGATTAATGTG